GCTAGCATATTGTTAGTCCAGGGCTGTGGCTAGCCTTGGGTGTGTGTTCCATCGGGAACAACCACCCCCCAAAAAAAACCATACTCAACTCCATTTTATCTTTTTTTTTTTTTTTTTTTTTTTTTTTTTTAATTTTTTTTTTTTTTTATTTACGATAGTCATACAGAGAGAGAGAGAGAGAGGCAGAGACACAGGCAGAGGGAGAAGCAGGCTCCATGCACCGGGAGCCCGACGTGGGATTCGATACCGGGTCTCCAGGATCGCGCCCTGGGCCAAAGGCAGGCGCCAAACCGCTGCGCCACCCAGGGATCCCTACTCAACTCCATTTTAATCTTGCAATACCTATATGAGTCTTAGTTACTTACTAGGACTACTTCTATTAGTTCTACTTTCTGAAAGAAAAACCAAGGTCACGGACATGTCTGGATATGTGGATTCCAGTTTGGCCTCTCCTTAGTCTTAGTTACACCCATAATTTCTCCCCAAGGACTCTCTCCATGATCTGGCTACTGTTCAACTTTTATACCTTCTCTCTCTCCTGTCCTGACTTCACTGTACTTTATAGCCACATTACAGGGCTTCAAACATGCTCTAAGATACCCCTCTCCTGCTCCTGTACCTAATTACAGGCCTTCAAACATCCTCTGTCTAAGATACCCCTCTCCTACTCCTGTACCTAATTCCTACTCATCCTTTCAGCCTCAGCAGAAAAACAAGCCCCTAAAAGGAGCTTTTTTTCTAAGTAGGCTCCACACTCAGCGTGGAACCCAAAGCCAGCCTTGAACTCACGACCTGAGATCAAGTCCTGGGCTGAGATCAAGAGTTGGACACTTATTTGACTGAGCCACCCAGGTGCCCTGGGAGCTGCTCGCTCTTTTTCTTTTTTTTCTTTCTTTTTTCTCTCTCTCTCTTAAAATATTTTATTTATTCATGAGAGAGACAGACAGAGGCAGAGACACAGGCAGAGGGAGAAGCTCCCTAGGGGAGCCTGATGCGTGACTCAATCCTAGGACCCCAGCATCATGACCTGAGCCAAAGGCAGACATTCAACCACTGAGCCACCCAGGTGCCCCTGGGAGCTGCTTTCTTGATGCAGGTTAGGCTCCCTTATGTGTTCCTATAGCATCCTGGTTCTCCCTGTACCCTATTCCCTAGCTTTTATCTGGAATTATTTGTTTACTGTCTGATTTGCCAGCTAGAATGTATGCCTAAGGTAAGGATTCTGAATTTTTATTTATAAAGTGTCTCAAACACTTAGCACATAGTTGGCACTCAATAAATATTGGCTGTGGGTGGAGGAGAGCAACTGAGCAGGGCATCTTAGGAAGCTTTCCCAGGTTGCTACTACCTTCACCCCCCTTTGCCCCATCTGTAATGGTATATATAATAAGACAATTTCTATTCACACTAAAGCTTTCTTAGGGAGAGCACTGTATCTGTGTAGAAGAAATATTGAGTTAGCAGAATATGGACTTTGAGGATAGATTTCCTGGTTTTGAATCATGGCTTTGCCACTCAATGGCTGGAAAATCTTGGGCAAATTACTACTCCAGGTCTCAGTTTCTTCATGTGTAAAATGTGTAAAATGGGAGTGAAAAAAACAGCACCTACCTTAGATGACTGTTGTGAGGATTATATGAATCCTCAAAGGACTAAAAAATGACTGCATATAGAAACAGTAAGTGCTAGCTGTTATTATTACTGTTAGTAAACCATCAGGGGTTGGGGGTGAGCTCAAGGAACCAAAGCTGATCACCAAATTCTGCTTGTCAGAGAGTGGTCCTGTTCACTCACCGTGGGCTTTCTGTTTTGTATGCTTGGGGAGAGTTGCTGAAGCCAAGCTAATTTACTGTGCCAATTAGAGATGAGATAATTTTGACACTGGCAGGAGAGGGAGGCAAGAGCCATTTGCACATTTAACAAATATTTACCGAATGTCTATTTTGTGCTAGACATAAAGGAAAATAAGATAGTCACAGCTGTTACAGGGCTCCCAAAAAATCAAGAAAGAGAGAAGCCAGAGAGGCTGGGGGCTGGGGGTGGAGGGAGGGAGTAGACCAGTTTCTTTCCAATAGCACAGCAGGATGCTAAGACAGGATTTTCAAGCATTGGCTATAGGATGTGTCATGTAAATCCTCCCTTTCATCCTCTACAAAATCTTCAATAAAGTTTTCATTGCTCACTGGAGAGAGCTTGAAGAGGGGAAGATAGCAGCTATCTGGGTTATAACTGTTAGGGGAAAGAAGCTATAGGCAAAAAAAAAAGCCCTTTCTTACTCTTGTGTACTCCCAGTAAGGAAGCATTACAGTGCATGCAATATTTAATGATTATAAATGATACCTCCATGCATTGTATAATGCAAGACTCTTTACAATGAATACAAATTAAGCAGTACCAATAGCAATCATATTAACTGAAAAGAAGAGGCATTATTCAAGACAGGAAGCTTGGGACTTGAAGGGAAAAGGAGCCTCGCTTGAAGCTGGGAGTCACATATGACCACCAAGCCGCTCCTTTGTGGTTAATTAGTCAAACTGGTGATTCCTCAGCCACTATGACTCGTTATTTTATAAACCACTGCTTAAGCGGATGCAGACTTTCTTAAACATAAATATCCTAAGGTTTAAGTGTGGAGAAAAAAAAAGGGAGTCTACTATATACTTTGGCTTCCATCTTTTTATGACTTCAGTTTTTCATTTTTACCATTTTTAAAAAATAACAACTTAAATAAACGTATATATTTCTTTAAAAAAGCAGCAGCCTAAGAAGTAATCAGTCATCAAACTAAATAAAACAAAAAACTATCAATTTTCCTGAATTTCCAAGAGTGAAATAAATAAAGCTCTGTTGGAATTTACCTACACAAATTGAGACTTCCCAGGGAAGAGAGAAATAAACTAGTCTTTTTTTCTTTTTTCTTAGATTTGTTTACTCTGTAAACCCTGGGGTTTTTGCATCTTATAATGTGACTACTGATTAAAAAGATATATGGTTGTTTATTAATGTTCTCAAAGCATGATGCAAATTCACATCACCTATGGGTATATTCTGCCCCTAAAGCTATGAAGTAAATGTGGAAGCATTTTGTACTTAACAAGGCCAAAATATGTTAATTCGAATAGTTGGCTTTGAATAGGATTTTCCTTTAAATCATTAATAGGAAAATGAAGAGAGCTTGGGTGGTCAAGCATGAAATGTAAATGAGAGCAGTACTTTTTTGTCTTATCCTCGAATGTTAAAATTTAAATCTGATAATGCAGAATATGACCTTATCATGAAACAATGCAGCTTATGCCCCAGATTTTTTGACAGTAGTATTGAAACTATGATTTTTAAGTACCACTTTCGAATGACAAGTTCAGTGAAAAAAATTAGACATTTTGAATTGGTGGGGTCAGAAAATGAGCATGCCTGTTCTTTTATCTACAGGATCATATTTTTTAAATCAAAAACTAAGACTTAGGGGTGTTAGAGCAAAGCAGAGACAACCTAGATCTCTTTAAATGGATGTAAAATTACCAGTGAAATCCCTGAAGGGCCAAATAATACAGGAAGCATATACTTTTGCCCTCTTATTTAAATGAGGAATATATTTCTTTAAAGCAGAAAAGGGCTTTACAAACCTCTTTTCAGGTCCCGGTTTCTAATCAGCCTCAGAATGGCAACCATTCCCTATTGTCAGGCCGCTGGTGAGAAATGCAAAGGAGCCAGCCACAACCAAGAGCTCCAGAAAATCAAGGTGGACACCAGGCCTCGGCTTCTGCCATTCTGTTAGCAGAAAGAAAATTTCAGAAAAAAGTCAGCTTAAAACACACACATTTTAGCCAGGTTTTAAGTGTAACCACCTTCTTAAATATGTCTGATCCTGTGATTATAAGCTTTTCAATGTAGGTGTTGGTGATTAATTTTCCGATTTTTTGGACCTGGAAGAGAGAGAGAGAAAAAAAAAAAAAGACCTCAGAGTATCATACCTTTCTTTCAAACAAGAATGAATTAATTTAGTAGCATTAGAAAACTATGAAGTTTGTGCCAGTTTTCAGATGTACCAAGATTTGGGCTGCTTTACAGGGAACAACCAAATTCGTGGCAAAGTTAAAAAGGATAAAAGCTCCCGCTAAAATGTCCTGTCTAGGGATCCCTGGGTGGCGCAGCGGCTTGGCACCTGCCTTTGGCCCAGGGCGCGATCCTGGAGACCCGGGATCGAATCCCACGTCGGGCTCCCGGTGCATGGAGCCTGCTTCTCCCTCTGCCTGTGTCTCTGCCTCTCTCTCTCTCTCTCTCTGTGACTATCATAAATAAATAAAAATTTAAAAAAAAAAATGTCCTGTCTAAAGCATGCTTTACCTTGGAAGCCATCAACAACAGCAACGCACCATTTGCCAGAAATGCATTTCTCTATCTTGCTAGTAGGGCACACCCTTGAGCAACCATCACACTGCGCTGAGCTCCGGAGAATATTCTGGAAGCATCACCGTGAGCCGCTGCTTCTCAGCAGGAGAGAGAAACGAAATCCAGCAGAAGCAGAAACTTTTGGAAGCAGAAACATGGTTTGCCCCCTTTAATGCTTTTCTCCTGGAACGGGTGTGTACGGAGAGGAGAGGCCTGTTCCTCAGGGGCTTTAAGTCTGTTGGACCGTTGAATATCACTCCGCCTTTTTTGAAGTCACACAAACCTCTTCTGTCCACGCTGTGGCGGGAACAGAAAGTTCGGAAAATTAAACGGGTAAGACTTGAGATAACCTGGACGACATACATGCACTAGCACTCCCCGAAGACTCTCTTCCACCCAAGCCTTTGCATGCAGTTAACTAAGACACAGAAAGCCTCCAAATCTTGCACTCCAAGAAAAGGAGGGAAAATGCAAGGGTCCTGTGCAGTTCCCGGGACCTACGAGAACCACTTCGTTACAAGTGTATCCAAAGTCCCCGGCGCCAGAGACTTGCGGGGCGCCGCTCGTCCTCCTGCACTCGCTCGGCGGCTCCCGGAGGTGGCGGTTGTGCCATGAAGGCAGACCCCGCCGGGCTGGCCGACAAGATGCTGCGGACCCCGAAGTGCTCGCGGTGCCGGAACCACGGCTTCCTGGTGCCGGTCAAGGGCCACGCGGGCAAGTGCCGCTGGAAGCAGTGCACCTGCGAGAAGTGCTACCTGATCACCGAGCGCCAGAAGATCATGGCCGCGCAGAAGGTGCTCAAGAAGCAGGCCTCGGAGGAGGAGCAGGAGATGGCCCTGGGCGCGCCGGGGCCCGAGCTGGTGGCGGGGGCCGCGGCCGCCGCGCCCCCCGCGCCCCCCGCGCCCCCGGGCCCCAGCCTCCGCCAGCTGCTTCCGGCGGCCGCCTCGGGAGAGCGGGAGGCAGGCCCCGAGGGCCGCGTGGCCGCGGGCTTCCCCGAGAGGCCCCCGCGCGGCCCGAGCCCCGGGCCCAGCGCCTTCCAGCCGGTCCTGGGCGGCCGCGGCCACGCGGGGCTGAGCGCACGAGCTGCCGCGGCCGCGCCGGGTCCGCTGGGGCTCCCGCTCGGGCCCGAGGCCGCCGGCAAGGGCTTCCCCGGCCGCTCGGAGCTGCGCAGGCCGCTGCGGCCCGTGCCCAGCCCGCCGTTCGCCGACTTCGGTAAGATCCCGCCGCGGCGGCCCAGGCCCCCGGGGTGGGTGGCGCGGCCATGGGCCCTCGGGTCGGGGTGGGGGGTGGGGTGGTAAATGCTTTCCAGACGTTCTCTAGAGCCCAGGGTTGGGTGCCATTCTGCGAAAGATTAAAGGCTAGAAAGAAATACGGTTGTTGTGCAGGCTCTTAACACGCAGCTAGCCGCGGGCCTTCCGGCCTTGAGAGAAAGAAAATGGCCCCCAGCGCCTGAGCCGTGGCTCCTCCTCCAGGAAGACGCCCTAGGGAGACGCGCCCCAGTGCACTTGCGCGCTTCTTCCCGCCCTTTTCTTGGGCTGCTGGCGCCTCCTTCAGGACGCCCCCGTGCGCGGGCCTGCTCGACGGGGCTGCGCCTGCGCACTCCTCCCCTCGCCTCCGCGGGAGGCTCCTCCCAGCCATCTTTGCGCGTGCGCACCTTGCCCCCCCCCCCCCCCGCCCCGTGCGTGCTTTCCCGGGGAGTGGGAGCGCGGTCTCTGCGCCCCCCTGGAGAACAGGTGGTCTACTGATACTGCCTTTTTTCCTTCCCTTCCCGCCATATGCATAATTCTTGGTAAATGCATGGTTCTTTATGTCTTGCGGTCTTCACTATTAAAAGTACAATTTCAAGTCACATACAGACTCGAGGCTCCTTTTGGGTGCAGACACGTGGGGTTTTTTTTTTTTTTTTTCTTTTGTTTTTCTCTATGGCGGTGTGGTAGAAAGCACAGGAGGCGAGCTATTCTGTGGAAACCTCTCCCCGCTGTGCTAAGGGGATTGGCCTAGATGCCCTCTGAAGGCCATTTCTGCCTTCTGGGACATTCTAGGAGAACTCAGGTCTCTGGGAAACTAGAGAGGGATGATAGACCCGAAACAGCAATTCTAGAAGATATCTTTCCACAGAGACAGTGCCTTTCTCTGTTCCATCTCAACAGGGACTGAGCACGTAACTGTGCCTGACACTAGTGATGAAGAAGTGACGGGGAAAGTCACATTTGTTGCCTTCAAGGATCTCCTCCTTGTGGGAGGGACAGCACAGATCAAGGAATCCCACAAATCAGTGCGTAGAGCTCGAATGGGTAATGGTTTAGTTGTGGTCTGAAGGAAGAGTGGGAGCTAGGTGTTGCGGACTTTATTTAAGCACAGTGAGGTTGGGGGAAAAGACTTCCAAACTGAGGGAACAGCGGATGCCAAGGCCTTGAGATTGCTGAGAAAGAAGAAGATGCGAGGTTACAGTGTGTAAGGAGGCCAGGGTGGAGGCAGGAACAAGCTCTCATGGGGCTTTAGGGCCAAAGGCTTTTTCTAAGAGCAGTGGGACATGGCTGAAGGCTCTAAAAGCAGGGAGGATCAAAACCATAATGGATGTGGCAGTTCTTTGTAAGTGGATTTGAGTGTTGTACTGCTACCTTTGTACAGGGATACGCTCCTTTCCCTAGTTCTGTGTTTTTATTTTTTGATTTAACTTAATTTTTTTTTTTTTTAAAGGTTTTTTATTTATTTATTTACGATAGTCACAGAGAGAGAGAGAGAGGCAGAGACACAGGCAGAGGGAGAAGCAGGCTCCATGCACCGGGAGCCCAATGTGGGATTCGATCCTGGGCCTCCAGGATCGCGCCCTGGGCCAAAGGCAGGCACCAAACCGCTGCGCCACCCAGGGATCCCATTTTTTTTTTTTTTTTTTTTAAAGGTTTTTTATTTATTTATTTACGATAGTCACAGAGAGAGAGAGAGATGATTTAACTTAATTTTTAAAAAAATTATTTATTTATTTATTCACGAGAGACAGAGAGGCAGAGGGAGAAGCAGGCTCCCTGCAGGGAGCCCAATGTGGGACTGGATCCCAGGACTCCGGGATCACAACCTGAGCCAAAGGCAGACGCTCAACCACTGAGCCACCCAGGTGCCCTATTCTGTGTGTTTTTAACGCTTCCCTCGTTGCTTACCTTTTCAGGGCTCCCTCTGAGCGTCAACTCCGATTGTGTGGTGGGGCCTGAGTACCTGGAGAGAGAGCCTTCCAAGCTGTATCCCAGCTGCTCCAACATGCATTCCTACTGCCCATTCCCACTGGGCTACCAGGATGCATCCCCGACTCCGGGGATCCCCCTCCAGCGGGGCTTCCGGCATGTGTCCTGCAGCCACTTCCATGGAGGAGGCTTGGTAGGTCCCATCCCCCATTCCTTTCCTGGTTTTTCTTTATCCCAGATGCTGCTGCTGTTATTTTGGATCCTCTGTCCCAGTAAGTGAACTGAAGTACCCGTCTGTGCCAGGGCCTGAGCACTGGTAGGACAGGTACAACACTGACCTCGTGCGGTGTGCACCTTTCGGAGTGAACACGTGTAGGCACGTCCATCTGTGTGTCAGCACATTGGCCTGGGCCGTCTGTGCTGTGGTATGTGCTATTCAGAGCTAGGGGTTCAGGTAAGGACTGCAGACACATCTTGGGTACACCTGGGGAACAGCCACATAGTACCACAGCCTGAGTGAGTGACCACCAGCTGGAGCTGGAAGGGTGCTTCATCTTGCTGGGTACCAGAAGGAAAGTATCACTCCTGGAACCACACTGTTGAGGGCAAAGCCAGGAGCACATGTAGGTCCCCTGCCAAAAGATAGGGGTCACTTGAGACTTCTGGGGGGCTTTCAGGAAGAATTTAAGCTTAGTCTCGAAAAATATGGAAGCCTTCTTCCAAACACCTGTCACCTTAAGGAAACATTTGTTGAAAGAATGGACAAGATGTAATCTTTTTATAAGACCAGTGGTCATTTACTAACAGCTGTGTTCTTTAAGCCTGTGTTTTGAATACTGGGTATGTAAGAATCAGGCCGTCCCTGTTGTATGAGGTACAAGTTGGGGTGACCAGGTTTGTGGCCTTGGTTACCAGCTCCTTCCAGACCAGAGTGGCTAAAAGCCCTTTCCCCTTTGACAACCCTGAGGCCTGTCAGGACTGCAGAGGCCTGGGTAATCAGTCCTGATGGAGCCCCATCAGACTGGATCTGTGGGGCAGGTCGGTTCTAATGCAGCTCAAGTTCAGGGAAATGTAAGCCACCATTACCTTTTCTCTCTCCCTCAGGGCTAAAAGCCTAACCCTGGGTATTAGAGTGATATTTCTCTTGGGTGGCAGGTAGAGAAGAGTGAGGACAGAGCATGCTTTTTTGTGAAAAGCGGTTGAGAAGAAAGGAATGCTTGATATTTACATACGGAGAGTCTTAGCTGCAGTGTGTGGAGCCATTGTGAGGGACTTCACACAGGTCAGGCACACCGGGGACAGGGTCCCCACTCCTGCTGCAGCCCCAGCAGCATCTCTTCTGTCTGTTTTAGACATTGTTAAGTTTTCTAGAAGTCCTTTTCCATTGATTCTAAGGAAAAGCTTTGAAACCCACTGGTCTTGATAATTTCCAGGGTGCCTGTGACCCTCCTGTGAGCCATCAGGGTATGCTGTATCACCCCACTAGCATAGAGGAAGACGACTCAGAGAAAGTTAAGTACTTGTTCATGGTCACAGAACCTGGGAGTGAAGGATCAGAGGATCAGCTATGTAATGTGAGGAAACATAGAGGAAGACGACTCAGAGAAAGTTAAGTACTTGTTCATGGTCACAGAACCTGGGAGTGAAGGACTGGTGTTCACATTACATAGCTGATCAGAACAGAGCTGTCACCCCAACTCTGGGGCCCTGGCACTTAACTTCTGCTCTCCAAGGTATCTATGTCATGAGAGGCAGAGCAAACACGGCCCTTGACTCTTACACCACCCCTGCTACACCTGAACTCTGGGGACGCTGGCCACCCCACTGCAACTCCAGGAGAGCACAACGCCTCCAGCCTTCACACAAAGAGAGGGGCCTCTGGCCAAGTAGAGCACGCACCCACCGTCTGCTCACACAGAAGCTTGGATGGAGCCTGGCGTCCAGGGTGGAGCTCTGATTGACAGGCTTGCCAGACGGCCTTTGTTAAGAGTGTGATCTCAGTTGGTTTATCTGGGCCTGAGCTGCCACCACAGGCCCCAGGCAGAAGCTGTGATCCAGGGAGAGACTTGGCTGAGCAGCTTGGAATTAAAGCACTAATAATCCCCCTTCCCACCCCCTTCACGTCTGGATAGAGGATCAGGCATTTATTTCTGAAGCTGTTTCAAACCCAAGAGCCTATGAATTGCTTTCATCCTTGTCCTGCTGTCCCTCCTGACCGGGCTCTGAGATATTCCCCGTGGATGTCCTCAGCATCCTACTCCTGTTCCTACCCCATTTGCTGCTGCTTCACTTCCTCTGTTCTCTTCCCACAAAACAGCACAAGCTTGGAGTTGGACAGACCTGGGATCCAACCCTACTTCCACTATTTCCCAGCCATATGGCCTGGGGAAGTCCTCTGATCTCTGAGGGTCTGATTCAGGTTCTGTCTGAACAGTAGGGGAAAGAGTACCCACCTCACAGGGCTGTGGACAGATTGAATAAGGTGTGATGCATGGGAAGTGCCTGGCAGGGGGTCTGGCACGTACTGGATACTTAAAGGTGGGCTTTCTCCCTTCCTTGTTAGAAAATGCAGACTGCCTCAAGGCTTCAGTGTGCTCATACATGACTCACCAGTGTGGGGTAGTGTGTGGGTACTCCAGTCCCTTGACAAAGAACACTTAAGAGCACGTAAAATACCTTATAGGACACTAGGGTTCTCCAAAACACAGCTTGTAAAGTGCTGCTCTGAAGTATCTGATGCAGAAGGAAATACTAGGACCTACATCTGAAATGTATTACCACTTTTTATTACATTCATGTCTTTCTCTGTTAAGCTGTGAGTGGTGTGGCCATCACTGCAGATGCCCCATTCCAGCCGTAGGGTCCTGTAGGGTGAGCTTATCCCTTGGTTGCCGAGGAAGCAGCAGATGCACAAGCTGCCCACTGGAGCCGTGTTGCTGTGGTCTCCCAGCTGCCCTTGCCTCAGTCACAGCTATGGGAATAAGGCCCTCGACTCTGGTGTCTACATCCTTAGCTGTACCAGGAGAAGGAACCACAGGGGTTGGGATGTGTTGGCACCTTCCCCAGCACAGAGCAGCCACAGGACCCACTTCTGCCTCTCACTGCCCAGCTCTGTGGCCCTCGGCCTGAAGCTTCACCCCACTGACACTCATTGCAGTGAGGATGGTGCTAGAACCTCCCTCCTAGGGTCAGAAGGGCTCAGTGTGACTATGTAGCTGTTGCCCAGGCGTACCTGAGATGCCTGAATTCCTTCTTGCCTTCAATCACTGGGTGGGTATTTGCTGAACACCCTGTTTCATGTGCCCTGTGCCTAGGTATTGGGTCACAGAGGTGAATTCGCCCCTTTGGGAGCCCCCCCATTTATTTTTATTTATTTTTTATTTTTTTATGATAGTCACAGAGAGAGAGAGAGAGAGGCAGAGACACAGGCAGAGAGAGAAGCAGGCTCCATGCACCGGGAGCCCGATGTGGGATTCGATCCTGGGTCTCCAGGATCGCGCCCTGGGCCAAAGGCAGGCGCCAAACCGCTGCGCCACCCAGGGATCCCGGGAGCCCCCCCATTTAGCAGTCTGAGGCCTGTCTGACCAGCCTGTCTGGCTAACCCTCTCCCTCTGGGCGCCATGCAGGTCCCGGAGCCAGTGGGAGACTTCCAGCCAAGCTACTACCCGCTGCCGCCGCCGCCGCCACCTCCACCACCACCGCCGCCACCTCCACCACCACCACCACCACCACCACCACCACCGCAGCCTCAATTTCTCCCACCAGGCTTCTTGTCTGCGCTCCACTTTCTGCCGCCTCTGCCACCGCCGCCACCGCCGGCATCTTTCTCTCTCACCATTCTGTCTGATACAGACAAGGAAACCACTGGTAAGAGGGCCCCAGGCTTTCAGCTTCTGGGGAGCCAGGAGGACTTCCTGGAGGAAGGGGGCCTAATCACAAAGTGGATGTGGAGAGCAGAATTTAAAATGCATTGGGTCTGGGGATGAGCTCTTCAGTTATACCCCTCTCTTTATTCCATATGCAAGCATCCAAGAGGGGCTCCCCAGTCTCAGGTGAGAAAACCAATGGAACCCTGAGAGGTTCTCACATATGTAAATGGGAGATGGCAGCGCTAGGATCTCCACAGAATTCTGTCTGGCTCCGGAGCTCATGCTAATTCCCCCCCCCCCCCTTATCAAGGCCTGTGGGCAGAGATGTGAAGGATGGCATTCCTGTGGTGTGTTCAGGAGACCAGCCGTGCCAGGCTGCTCTGGCTCAGCTGGGGCTATTCTGGAGAGGGAAGCAGCAGATGCTGAGGCTGGGGCAGCAGCTGGACCTGGGTGGGGGCTGCTAGGGATGAGTCCTTGTGGAGAGAAACCGGCCAGGAGCCAGGGACCCTGTCCTTCATTGCTCTGCCACTGGCGCACTGGGTGACCTCAGGCCCTCCCACTCACTCGAGGCCTGTCTCCTCATCTGTAAAATGGGTCCTGTTAACAGGGTTATTGTGGTAGTCAATATTAGAGGTAAAAGTGCTTTAGGTTTTCTTACGAGGGCTCTTGCAGCTTTAAAGGTTCTAGGATTTTTTTTCCCTCCTTTCAGTCCTTCCCTGAGGCTCCCTAGGAAAAGGAAGTGAGGCCTTCTGTACACACGTGCTGGGTGTGAGATGCCTAGATAGGCAGAGATGGTGTGTGGCTTGAAGCATGCTGGCCCCAGAGCCAGACAGTAGCTTTGTGACCCACGGCAAGGTCATTCAGTCCTTGGTGCCTCCCCCTCCCTCACCTTCTGCAGAAGTGGGCTTAACGGCCCCACCTCAGGAGGTGATTCTGAGGACCCATCTGAACCTGCACCCCAGGACGGCATTTGTGTTCATTCTCCCTGTTTTCCTGTCATCCCCTGCTGACCTGACGTTGGGAGGGCAGATCTCATTCCCCAGAAGGGCGCAGAAGTTCAGAGCCTCGGGGTAGCTTGCTCCTGGCCACCCAGCTGGCGACAGGCAGAGCCAGAGTGTGAGCTGGAGTCTGTGTTGGGGGGCTGGGGCTAGGCTGCCAGGGTCCAGACACCTGGCCCATGGAGGGCAAAGGCATTCTCTGCAGGGGCTGGGAACCCTGAGAATGCCTGACCAAAAGTTTGCATCTGAAAGTAGGTAATTCCCCTGTTTGTAAATCCAGCCCCTCTTTGTCCTTCACAGATGGCCAGGATGCAGGGGTACCAGAGGAGCCCGGGGTGCCTGGGGTGCCTGAGGCGGAGGTGGGGGCCCCTGAGGCGGAGGCGGGGGCCCCTGAGGCGGAGGCGGAGGCGCCGGAGGCGGAGGCGCTGCCCAGTGACCCCAGCCAGCTGCCCTCCAAGGAACAGTCCGACTAGGCCCTGGCATGCTTGGGCCAGCGGGGTGGGGGTTGCGGGTGTTGCAGCAATGATGTTCTTATTGGGTTTGGGGATGTGTAGGGAGGAAGGGTAGTAGTAGACATAAAATGGCAGTTTAATTTCCATTTCAAGACAGGAGGGAGGAAGGTGATTTCTAAGGTTCTCTCTATCCGGAGACGTGGGATTGACCAAGAACATGGAGGTTGGTTAGCAGGGGAGGGCCAGGGCTTTGAGGATTGGGGGGCTGGTGGAAGCTCACATTTAGGAATGAATTTAACTGAGTCTGGGTTGTGCTGCTGTTAGACTCACTCCCAGATGCGGTCTTTGATTTCCTCGGGCCTGCTCCAGGACAGGAGGCACCATCTATTTCAGCCTTCTGCTTCCGCCTCTGCTTGCTCCCAGCTGGGGGCAGCACAAACACTGAGCCCCAAGCATATCCAGGTGGTTTGTGTGGGCAGCTGGGACCGGGTGCTGACAGCAGGTTCTACAGCATCCTTCCCTGCTGCTCTGTCTTTTGTGAGGGCTGCCTGGCCACTGCCTCTCGCCCCTTCTCCAAGGGGCTGCACCAAGCATTCTGACTGCTGGGGCTGCCTCTTCTCCTCTCCATAAAGTTTAAGCCACTATAGGCATCTTTTCTGGTTAAAAAAAAAAAAAATCTATTAAAGTTTGACTATTTGATATTTTTATAGTGATTGCCAACTTTAAAAAGTAGGCTGTTTGTAAGCACTGATGCAGTTCTCAGAAGAGAATGGTGCTTCTAAATCATCTATGTATCCATTTCTTCTCTGGGGACAGTTGACTGTTGAAATAAAATAAGCAGTGGAAATCATCGTGCAAGTTTCATTTTCTTTAAGTCCTTGTGGAAGGTGGTTTTGGGGAGAGCGTCTGGGCCTGGCAAGTCCCTCCCTGGCTTACCTCCCCCTTTCCCTGTTGCCAAGGGAGAGGGTTGGGCCAGGCTACTAGATTTCTGACTGTCGTTGATATTCCCACCATTTTTCTTAAGCAGTGGAGACCTTTTGAGGACATTGCAGACACACAAGATGCAAAGATTTCTTTTAGTTTCCCTCAGCTGTGGGGGTGGTCAGAAGTTGGGATCTCAACTCTATCTTAAAGGTGAAAGTAGGCATTCCTGGGGGGTGGGTGCAGAAAGAGTAAGGGACCTGGAGTGAAGGATTCTGGGTGAGACACTGTGTCCTGTCCTCTGTCCAGGGGCAGACTGGCACTCAAACAGGCCAGTCTGCATGCCACCTGGCTTGTAGGCAGGGGTGTCCCAGAATCCCCAGGACAAGTGGCAAGATGATCGCTGAGAAATGCTCTCTGTTCTCCCAACATGAGTGTCCTGGCTGGGCCTTGGCCTGCTCTGTTGGCACTGGAGCAGGATCTAGTCCTAGAAGGTTTCTGTCCCTGCTTTTTGGGCAGTCCTAGCAGGGCCGACCCAGGCACTCTGAGGCCTGCAGGGCAGCATTGTCTTGTCTCTGCCTGATGCTGTGACGTTGGACTAGCCTGGCTTTGAGGCTGAAGCCCCCCAATGCTTCCTGCATAATAGCACTGGTCCTGTCTTGGGTTCCACAGCCCTGAGGAGCCCTGGGTTCCAGATGGCCTCACCCTGCCCCGTCAGTATGGCCAAGTAGGGCTGGATCAGTGCCCCTCCGTACTCCTTCATTACACTGCTTTATCTTAGACTCCCTGTTTTAAAGATTTTCACCCAAGCTGCATTAATCAAAGTATTTCTGATCTGCAATACACAGGTCTGAGAGTCTGGCCACATGGACTCCAAAGCATTCCAGACTGGGGCAAGGAAATAGGATGTTTATTCAGTCTGTGGGGTTGAGAAGGGGTGCTCCGGAGGCTGAGAAGGACAGTGTCCTGTTGCTGAAATCCGTGTCCACAGAACTCCAGGGAGGGGAGGAATGCTCGGTTCTCCTATAGGCCTGTGATCTGACGAATCTCCGAAGCCTAGTTAGCTTCTTCCCTGGGATCTTGAGGGTGCCAGCTGCAGTGACAAGACAGCCACGGGGCGGGGTTGGAGACCTGCTTCCTCTCTTCCCCCCCTTGGTGTGAACCCCAAGCTCTGACAGCCCGGGCTCATCCTTTCCTCGTTCTCACCGTGCTAAGGTCAGGGGGCCCCTGCTCCCTGTAGCCTTTCCAGTCAATCCATTATGTTCCCTGAATGTCCTGTTCCATCCTGTGGTCCTTCAGCAGCAACAGCGTGAGGCTGAAACACCACATCTGCTCGCGTTGCTACCTTGCTTGCACACCTTCTATGGCTCCCTACTGCTCCGAGGCCAACATCTTCAAGCCAGTCGGCCTGGCCCCCTCCAGCCTCCTCCTCACTGGCTGGCCCAGCACAGGTCTTGCAGGGGTAGAGTCGGCCAGGTCCAGGCAGAAAAGGAAGGAAAGGGAGAGACTGGCAGCCAGCAGCACTGCCCAGCCCTAATGACCGAGGCTTGGCCGTAAACTGAGAGAATGTTCTGGAAGGCAGCCCCTGGCAGGCTGGCCTGACGCTGAACGCACTGTCAGGGCGCCACCGGGAGAGGGCGCGCGGCAGCGGCTATGGGCGGGGCCTGTTGCCTAGCGACCGGCGGCCGAGAAGCGCGCAGGTCCGCAGCCCGCTGGGCTGGAGGACCGGGTTTGCGCAGCGCCGGGCTTGCAGCGCCCCCCAGAGACCTGCGATCACCCTGGGAAATCAAAAACGATGAGCGAGGCTAGATGGCACACCGCTTAGCAACCCTCTTTGTGCTTCCCTGCCTGGGAGATAGAGGCCCTTCTGTCTTTGTCTGCAGACACCGGCCCCAACCCCGACACCCCCGCCCACCCCCCACCGTGTCCCTCGGCTCGGTCCTCTCCTTTCCCTCCTCTCTGCACTTTTGCATGTGCTGAGTCGGTTACCTAGACTCCTTCCTGGGTCACCTGCTCTTCTCCTACTTACCTTTTCAGACCTAGCTTCGCTGCCCCCCTCCTCCAGGCCCCTTAGCCTAGGTTAGGAGACCCTGTTAGGGCCTGTCCGGGCCCTTTATCGCCGGCCCTCTTCTTGCACGGATCCCACTGTGTAGATGTCCCTCCCACAAGTCTTGGAGCTTCCTGGAGGTAGAGACAAGGTGCCATTTGTCCCAATGTGGGCTCAGCATTGGTTAGGCAAGTAGTCCTGGAGTGCCTGCTAGAGAGTGAATGGCTGCATCTCGGGGACACCGTGTGCGGTTGGGTGGAAAGTTGAGTTGCCCTGCCTCTGGCCACAAGGCAGCATCTTTCGCCTTGTTTCCAGGCTGGGATCCCCCACAGGGGGCAGAGGAACAGGGCGTCAGCCTTCACTGAAACTGTACTTGTGGCCAAGCACTGGCACCCCTTCCGTCGTTAAATCCTTGCAACAAACCCGGGAAGAGGTGTAGTATTATCCCGATTTTATGAAGAAAAGTGAGGCAAAGAGAGGGATAGTGATTTGCCCAAAGTCACACAGGTTTTAAGAGACCAAAGAGGTGCGGAGGGCCACATACATCCCTGGGCACCAGTTACAGAGTTTTTAATATCCATTTTTTCCTGAGTTACTACCTTCAGGTGTTTTTTTTTTTTTTTTTAACTATGTGAATGCACCCTAGTTTCTGAGCAGATTGAGCGGCCTAAGGACGTGTTTGCCTCTTGAAACCACTGCCCACTCTACTGACCACAGCACACAGAGTCCTCTAAGAAAATGCTAATGTAGGCATCATGGTGATCAGTGTGGTCTCCCAAACCCTCCTGGAGAGAAGCTCTCCCACCATGCTGCCCCTGGTTTTCCTGGAGAATGGGGTTGCTCTGCACCCTTTTGCAGACAAAAACACACAGGGCAGGGGACGAGACCCTCCTGCTGCAGCTCTGGAGATCCTCACAGCTCCTTCTACTTCTGGGTGCTCTAGTCTTGGCAGACCTGGGCCCAGGTTCTCTTCCTGAGGAGCTGCTCAGAGACCCTAGATGAGTTGTGGCCTCTTCTCATTGGCCAAGGCCCAGGGTCTTCAGGTCCTGCTCTTCCTCCTTGCCTTCTCCTAGCCATGTGCTCTTGGGCACATCACATCTCCTCCCTTTGCCCCCCTTTCCTCCCTGTAGCATTGGGTGTGCTGAGAATGCAGAGAGCTCTTGTGTGAAATGCCACCTCTGATTACCACCCCTCGGTGTACAGTGTATGTGGTACCTGTGTTGTTGGATGATTGACAGCAACTGCAAAGCCCCATGGCTGTGACTCTTTACTTCCTGGTGCTCCCACTGCACCAGGCATTTACTGAGCACTTTCCACAAATTCTGTGAATTCTCACAGCGAGTCCCCCAGGCAGGCACCATCTTATACCCAGCGAGACTGATGCTTAAAAATGCTAGGTTCTTGTGCTTGGCCATACTGTCTATAAGTGGCAGAGTTAGGGTTAAACCTGAGTTCCACCTGAGTCTGGAGCCACCTGAGTCTGGAGTTCCTAACCACATGGTGCTCTCCCGCTCCCCAGCAAGGGACAGCTGTAAGTCTCAGGGGAGTTGTGGTGCCTCCGGGGACTTACTGCCCACTGCAGTGCACCCAGCCCAGCTGGTCTTCAAGACAGAGAGGCTGCACACAGACAGCAATCCAGCTCAGTGCTCTCACACAAGGAATGAAATCATTAAAATGTTTTTTTTTTTCCAGACCTTTTAATTCATTTTGAAAATGAACAGGGAAGCATGAAGTCAGTTTTTAAAGAAATGAGTATTAATAGCATATTAAAATTTTAATCGAAATCCTTTCACAAGGCTGCTGGGAAATTTATCAATAATAATGCTTGCAATTCACGTGTAACCTAGGAAATAGTTTTGATTTTTTACTGGGATAATTTCTTTTTCATGCTCATTTCTTCATCTCTCTCCAGGAGATGTTTATTTGTTTTTCTTTAAAAATAATTAATTGTGAATATAAGGAATGCATGGAAATCATACACAATTTATAAGTATAAGCCAGAAACAGATTTTTCCCCCACCTCTGTTGTCCCTTCTCATTTCTCTCCTCGGCG